GGACAGGAGAAGGTAGGGATGGATGAGAGTTGAGAAGGGACATCAACTGACTGTCGTTTGTTGAGGAGGGGTAGGCAGAGAAGGCTGGGTGAGTGGGCTCTCAAGAACAAATGATAAGAGGTGGTGATCTAACAGAGGAAATGGAATGTTACACAGATTTGAATCTGTGCATGCATCTAAAAAAACAAGATTAAGGGTACTGTCAACTACATGTGTGCGAGAATTAGCCCACTGTGATAGTCCAAGGAAGGAAGCAATTGAAAGAAATTTTGAGGAAACTGAGGACTATGGTGGGTTAATTGAAATGTTAAAGTTCTCAAGAATTAGAGAAAGAATATCACTTGAAAGGAAGTAGTGAAGCCAGGAAGCAAAATGGTCAATCAAGAAAAGAGGGGAACCAAAATTTGCAGAGAAACATTTTAGATTTCAAGATAAGAGGGAATGGGAGAGATCAGATAGGCTAAAGTCATGGATGGTGAATATAAGTTAACATGATTATAATTGCAATGGCTCTAACACTTTCAAAAATATACAAACATTTAACAAAGAGTTGAGCATGGAAGGTTTAATAGTTTTCAATTGATCAGTAATACTAGTATAGGGGAAGGATGTGGATAGGAACACAATTGAATTATAAGAAATAGATTAATAAAATAAGTAAGAGAGGTATTCTTGATTAGATAAATAAAAAAAGTCTGAGTCCAACATCCTTTATGCGTTTGCTGCAAAACTCCATAAATGCAACTAAAATTATTAAACCTTGATCCTTCACAATTATAAACAGAATATTTTTTAGAAAGCATTGTTAGATTTTCAGTATCTACAGATGTTTCCAAATTGCTCACAGGACAGTTTGCAACATTGTGTACAATACCTAAAAAATGGTATGCATATTACCATTGTGAGAAAGTACATTGTTGTATGCAGAAAGATTGTGAGTGTGTCTGACTGTTAGCCAATTAATTCTATCCAAGAATCAGTTAAACTGATGTACCCTTCTGCTATAGTGACATATAAAGGGTATGCCACTGTGTAGGTGCCAAGGGAACTTGGGAAGTATCAAACAGTTTGAAAATGGCTCCAGGGTCTATTATCACCATAACCACTACAATACTTGAGTGACTATGTGCATTACAGTGATTACAATGCCCCTTAAAATTTATTTTGTGATCCAGAAAGAAATTCAGTGGTGCCATATGTTTAGATAATTGAAACTATTACTATAAAAAGCATATGAGCATTTCTCCAAATGCCATATTTTACCAAAGAATTTCTCTAACTATGCCTTGATACAATTCATTGATAGTGAAATTTGGCTCACCATTTTAAAAGGGCATTGTATTACTTAACATGTTGTCTATGCACTATGAGGACTATACGGGACTTTGTGCTAAATAAACATTAAATGATGTTTCTAGGTTTGTGGAGATCATATGATGGGAAAAAGTGTAGTATAGTATGAAACATATGCAGAATAGGGCGCCACTATCACAAATGTGTGGATACAGTTACCACTCAGGTTTGCCACTATTACAAATGTGTAGATATAGTTACCACTCATATAATGATGCTGGCATCAGATCTTAAGGGACTCAAAAACACTTCTCAGGAAACAATTTTCTGACTTTGTCTAAATGAGCAACGTTGTAGATAGTGGCAGATGTTTGAAATTTGAAACTATCTACAAAGTTTTTCATTTTATTTACTGTTTGATCAAAGAAGGGATGTGAGGAGGGAAGGGGAGGGTAGGGACCCTATAGCCCGGGATCTTTTTTTCACTGATCTGTAATGGTGGAATTACTGCCAGGGTCCAAAAAGCAGGTTGCCCATTAGTAGGTCCTCAACTCTGGTCCACCAGTTGTGGTTCTCTGAACCAGAGAAGGAGGGCGCAGAGAGAGAAAGGAGAGAGCTTGGGCACTCTCTCCAATCATCATCCGCCAGTACCTGCTGCAGAGAGTGGACCTCAGGAAAGCCACCCTTCTGCACCAAAAGGTTATGGGAACAGGTGGGTGGCTAAAAATATGTAAATGATGACTTCTAAATGTGTATGTGTAAGTGTGTGACAGTATGTATGTGTGTTTGTGTTCGTGCTGCAGTGTGTGTGCAATAGCGTGTCTGTGTATGCCTCTCTCTCTGTGTGTACCTCTCTCTGCCTGTCTGAGACTGTGTATACCTGTCTGTGTCTAAGTATACCTGTGTCTATCTGTGTGCACCTATCTGTATCTCGGTGTACCTGTCTTTGTCCACTTATGTCTGTCTGTTCCTGTGTGTTCTAATCTGTGTTTTTGTGCGCCTGTGTGTGTCTGTAAGTAACTGTAAGTGTGTCAAGGAGTGCAGTTTGCGGAGGGGTCGGGGTGGAGTTTTTAGGAAAGGGATCACCAAATTATTTATGGCCTCAAATTTTTTTTACCGTAATAATGTCTCTGATTCAAAGAAAGCTCCAGCTACTTACTTTGAAAACGTCCTAAGCTTTAATAATACATAAACATAGGTGTTCAGTATGTCTTGTTTGCAGTAATTCATGTTGAGAGCTCTATGAACTAATGCACTTGATCTTAACAATGTGATAACACGGAACATTCCATTATCCACTTGTAATATCACTATTTCCTTCCTCCATAGTAAACAAACCTTTTTTCCCCTTTAACTGCAAATAATTTTAGATTCATATATTTTTCTCTCTAATTATTCTTGTAGGTGTAAATCTGCTGTCTCTCAAATCATATTTTTACTGCATGTGATTGCATTTTAAATTTTTTTGTTTGTCTTTTAATTTGCAAACCTACTGCCAATACGTCTTCCCAATCAGCACCATGGGAGATATACTGCAATACCTGAAAATCTATCTTTGCTCACCCGTAATTTGGAAGTTCTCCCAGTCCTTCCTTAAATATGTAGATATCAACTGATTTGATTTATTTTTTTCTTTAAGGTTTTGGCATTACGTTCAACAATTTCTGGGGGTGGAAACACTGCGCATACAGACGCCAGGTACCATGACCACTTAAAATCACTGAAGTGGTTATGGTGCTTTGAGTAACCCTTTAACCCTTTGCACAAGATGAAATAAAAATATTTTTGCTTTTCAGATGGGTACTTAATCTGCTGCCATATTACATACTTTTCACCTGTAGTTTCATTTCAGGTAGAGACTTTACAGAGTATGCCAGTAGATGGTGTTTACGATATAGCCCGTTCAGATATGTGTGGGACAGGAAAACATGTTGTGAATACACTATAATTACAGCTGTTCCCACACACCAGTCCATATTTAGACATTCCAAGCTCCACTGACTTATGTTGCTTGTAAAAATGTGCGTATTATTAAATCTGTTTCCAAACTGTTCTGTCGCTTTACTTTTTTTGCCCCTCTATTTCTCATTGATTTTTTTTTTTTTTTTAAATTAACCTTAGTTTTTTTTATTTCTACATAAGACAAAGCATGGACTACTTTTTCCTCATAGGGAATGTCATCTTTGGCAAATGTTGGCAATGGGCGGCGCTTAAGCAAAGTTCCATTTCAATTGTTAAGCTAATTTACCCATAATCCATCAATCAAATTAATCCCACAGAAGGACAAGATTCAGACTTCATGGACAGAGGAGAACAAAATGGCTACACTCAGGCATTGAGATCTGGCACAGTGAACAAGATAATAAATACAAATAAAGGCAAATGGCAAAGAGGGGAGTATAAGCATTAAGATACAAGGGGCATAAGGAGAGGAAAACTTGAAAAAAAAAAGAACATGACCAAACCTTTTTAACGTCTCATTTTAGAGAGCCTTGTTAATAGAGCAATAACCAGTACTGTACTGTAGGTAGATACTTCTTTACTGCTCTGTTTGTAATCACTATGGGGTACACTCCCTTGCCTAAAGTTTTGCATTATTCAGTACTTACTAGGCTTAATTGTATTTGTTTTAGTTCACGATTTGTATATTGCTTTCTGTATGCTGTAAAGTGGAAATTCTCTTACCAGCCACCATTTATGAACATGCTCTGGTATCTCCTGGTCTTTCCTCGTAAGTAGAGGCTCTATTGATCGATTGAAGTGCTCATTATACCATTCAGTTCTTGGTTTCTCTGGCCTACAGAGGCCACACATGCAACTATTGTAATCTAGTTCCTCGACCCGATCAACAGGGTTTAAAGAGTTTGTGAAGAAGGAGAGGTATATCAGAAATGCTATTATAAACGCCACAGGTGGAATCCAAACTGTTCTTCTGTGGTGGAATAATCGGCAGCATGAGCGAATGGAATGCATGGCTTCAGTCCTTAAGGAGGTCCAAAATTCAGGAGAACAAAAAACAAAGTTCTAGTTCAATTTATAATTTCCTGTTCTCTTCTAGTGTCATATTTTATGATTACCATATGATATGCAGGATTACACTATGTAAATATTGAGTGGTTTTGAGAAACCTTTCAGATGTTCGTCAGTTGAGGTGAGAATCATCTAATTAAAAACATTCATCAGGATGAAAGAAAAATTGAGGGAATGCATTTTCATGTACAAGTCACAATATTGTATGTTTGTTTTATTTTTTTATCTTTATAAAACCGTGTGGTTTATTTGTAATTCTTCCAATTCCAGTGGTTAATGGCTTCTTCTAATACGGAGCCAATAAGATTAACCGATCCGTAAATACAACTTTGCATCCATACATAAGTTATCATCCAGCTACAGTGCTTATGATGCTTGGAGTAACCATTTAAAGCAGTGTTTTGTTTTTTTTATCATCTAAAAATAACAGTTTATCATGGAAAAAAAATTTTTTAAAATAAAAACCGCTTTTATTAAAGATGAGAAAAATAAAGTTGCAAGCCGTAACCTTTTTACTTAAAAATAGTTAAGATAGTTGTTGGTTTTTCCAGAGTACTTTTATAGATCAGTAATTGACTTCTTCCCACAAAATAGGATTCCAAGCTTTCTGTCAAACACTTGTATACATTCCAAAAAAAAAAAAAAAATTTAAAAAAATATTTACATTCGGATTGTAACTACATGACTGCTTTTTCCATGGAGTCCCTGAGGAAAAACACAAAGAAAACATTTTTAATGATTTTTTTTTTTAAATTGCCTCAATGTAACCAGTATGTGTAAGTGTTCATTATACAGGATTGTACAATATGTTGTTATTTTCTAAACATAATATTAAATGGCAGGATCAGGAAACTAAATTTGAAATATTGGAATATAGCGTGGGTGGTTATAGAAAATGTATAGTGCAAGGCTGTATTAAAACCCATAGTAATTCTAAAAAAATAATTTCTAAAGGGATACTCAAAGCACAGCTTTTTGTTCTGGTTCATATTGATTTTTGTGCCATTAAGTTGTCCCTGAAAATAATTGCCTTTCCCTTGATTTTTGGTGACATCACTGTTGCTTAGGCTCCACCCCTTTCCCACTGATGTCATAAGTGGACATTTAGCATCACCGATAACCGTGCTCTTATCGTGTATTCATAACACCGTTTCCTAGCAGGGGTGCTCTAGTTGCACTTATCATAGTAAGAGCTAAACATCCTGATATGACCATATTGTGAAGGGAATGAAGCTTGTTCAGTGTGTAGTGGATTGAAAAAGGTAGGATTGCAAGGACAACTTCCTAGCACCACAACAACTGCAATAAACCATATTGTTATGATGCTTTAATAAACATCCATAGCTAACATTACTGTATATGAGATATGATAACTGTCAGATATAAGCTAAAGCCATAAGCATTAGAAAATAAATAGGAAAATGATACTCTAATCTGCATAATTTTTATTTTGTAGACTAAAATAGGCAAAGTAAAATATACCTTGGCAAAAGTTACCAGTGTAAATATATATATTATGTTTTGAAAAAGAAGGCAGTCACATAGTAGCTTGTATATTGAGCCTTATACCTTAAAAGAAATTAAAAAAAACCTAAACATGACAGAATACACAAAAGATAATACTGAGTCAATGTACACACTGTTACCTTTTACATTTTAATTTTAAATGAACACTCTAAGTAATAAAACCACTGCATCATAAATTATTTTTTAAAGGACCACTATAGGCACCCAGACCACTTCAGCTTAATGAAGTGGTCTGGGTGCCAGGTCCAGCTAGGTTTAACCCTTTTTGCTGTAAATGTTTACCTATGGGTTAATCCAGCCTCTAGTGGCTGTCTCATTGACAGCCGCTAGAGGCGCTTCCGCGCCTCTCACTGTGATTTTCACGGTGAGAAGACGCCAGTGTCCATAGGAAAGCATTGAGAATTGCTTTCCTATGGACTGACTGAATGCGCGCGCGGCTCTTGCCGCGCATGAGCATTCAGCCAGGGACGTCAGAAGAGGGAGGAGAGTCCCAGTGCCGAGGGAGCCCGGCGCTGGAAAAAAGGTAAGGGATTAACCCCTTCCTCACCCCTCAGCGTCACGGGAGTGGGACCCTGAGGGTGGGGGCACCCTCAGGGCACTATAGTGCCAGGAAAACGAGTTTGTTTTCCTAGCACTATAGTGGTCCTTTAACTGTGTAACTCCACCTGCAGCATCGTCATATTGTGTCATCAGCCAGCCTGTAACTCTAACTTGAATTCTGTGCAATGTTTTGACACAGTGCGCCATTCGTCGGCTGAGAGGGGGTCAGCTGAATCTCTCAGCCAATGAATGGTGACTGCATCGTATTCTGGCTTCTACAGAGGAGACCAGAATCTCAATGGTTTGCCCCATTACTGGGAACTGGAGCAGGGAACTCCTGACATGAACATCATAACCACTACAGCCAGCTACAGTGCTTACGATGCTTGGTGTAACCATTTACAGGGAGTGCAGAATTATTAGGCAAATGAGTATTTTGACCACATCATCCTCTTTATGCATGTTGTCTTACTCCAAGCTGTATAGGCTCGAAAGCCTACTACCAATTAAGCATATTAGGTGATGTGCATCTCTGTAATGAGAAGGGTGTGGTCTAATGACATCAACACCCTATATCAGGTGTGCATAATTATTAGGCAACTTCCTTTCCTTTGGCAAAATGGGTCAAAAGAAGGACTTGACAGGCTCAGAAAAGTCAAAAATAGTGAGATATCTTGCAGAGGGATGCAGCACTCTTAAAATTGCAAAGCTTCTGAAGCGTGATCATCGAACAATCAAGCGTTTCATTCAAAATAGTCAACAGGGTCGCAAGAAGCGTGTGGAAAAACCAAGGCGCAAATAACTGCCCATGAACTGAGAAAAGTCAAGCGTGCAGCTGCCACGATGCCACTTGCCACCAGTTTGGCCATATTTCAGAGCTGCAACATCACTGGAGTGCCCAAAAGCACAAGGTGTGCAATACTCAGAGACATGGCCAAGGTAAGAAAGGCTGAAAGACGACCACCACTGAACAAGACACACAAGCTGAAACGTCAAGACTGGGCCAAGAAATATCTCAAGACTGATTTTTCTAAGGTTTTATGGACTGATGAAATGAGAGTGAGTCTTGATGGGCCAGATGGATGGGCCCGTGGCTGGATTGGTAAAGGGCAGAGAGCTCCAGTCCGACTCAGACGCCAGCAAGGTGGAGGTGGAGTACTGGTTTGGGCTGGTATCATCAAAGATGAGCTTGTGGGGCCTTTTTGGGTTGAGGATGGAGTCAAGCTCAACTCCCAGTCCTACTGCCAGTTCCTGGAAGACACCTTCTTCAAGCAGTGGTACAGGAAGAAGTCTGCATCCTTCAAGAAAAACATGATTTTCATGCGGGACAATGCTCCATCACACGCGTCCAAGTACTCCACAGCGTGGCTGGCAAGAAAGGGTATAAAAGAAGAAAATCTAATGACATGGCCTCCTTGTTCACCTGATCTGAACCCCATTGAGAACCTGTGGTCCATTATCAAATGTGAGATTTACAAGGAGGGAAAACAGTACACCTCTCTGAACAGTGTCTGGGAGGCTGTGGTTGCTGCTGCACGCAATGTTGATGGTGAACAGATCAAAACACTGACAGAATCCATGGATGGCAGGCTTTTGAGTGTCCTTGCAAAGAAAGGTGGCTATATTGGTCACTGATTTGTTTTTGTTTTGTTTTTGAATGTCAGAAATGTATATTTGTGAATGTTGAGATATTATATTGGTTTCACTGGTAATAATAAATAATTGAAATGGGTATATATTTGTTTTTTGTTAAGTTGCCTAATAATTATGCACAGTAATAGTCACCTGCACACACAGATATCCCCCTAACATAGCTATAACTAAAAACAAACTAAAAACTACTTCCAAAAATATTCAGCTTTGATATTAATGAGTTTTTTGGGTTCATTGAGAACATGGTTGTTGTTCAATAATAAAATTAATCCTCAAAAATACAACTTGCCTAATAATTCTGCACTCCCTGTAAAGCAGTGTTTTGTTTTTGTGTGCAAATACTGACCCTGCAGTCTGACAAATGTAAACAATGCTGTTTCTAAGAATCAACAAAGTTGTTTTTCGTCAGCGAACGCACCTCTGATAGTTGACAGTGAGTTCTTTATAAACGCTGTCATCACTCACAGCATGATGACTCCGAATACTGATAATTGTTCTTCTGTGAAATATTATTTGCGATCCTTTAAACTGAATATGATATACAATCTGAGCTTTATTTGTGAGGATAAAGATTATAGTACCTTACTAGCCTGGGGGCAAACAAGTCTAAACTTTCAGGGGACTGTATAACGTATTATACTAAATAATGTTGTGCCAGTACTTGATACTACTAAGTAGACCACAATAAAGCCTTGTTTATTTGGAAAACTTGTTTTTTCCACATGACAGACATTTGATCATAAGTGGTTTAAAACTCCTTTTGGGAGCCTGCCCAACACCTTATCTGACCGAAATAGACCAAAAGGGTCAAAAAGAGTTCATAACAATGAGTTATTTTCTAGACAACTGAATTTTAAAGCGACACTATAGTCATCAAAACTACTTTAGCTTAATGGGAATCTGTAGTTACCAGAACTACAGCTTAATGCAGTTGATCTGGTGTCAACAGTCTGTCTCTGCAAACGTTTTAAAGCTGCACTGTTATGTTATTTTTAACCCCCCACCATTCTGACTCTACTACATATTATTGTCACCCCCATTTCACCTTTTTTTTTTTTTTTTAACCTATTTATTTCCAGTCCGGATCTAGGCCCTAGGCGCCACCATCTTAGTGTTGCCAGATGAATTCCCTACGGGACACGTCATCTGCCCACACTGTGAAATTCCTGTGCATCACCATTTGCATACTTGGGCATTTGCTATTCTCCGAAATGCAGACAGGAATTTCAACTATTTGTTCATTTGTCAGAAAGATAAACGAATGAATAGAAATTACAACAAACTAATATCGAACTCCAATTTGGTCTTCATTCGTTCGCTGCTTACAAGGAGGGAGCTAACGGCTTGCAGCTCCCTCCTTGTAATATGTAAAGTAGTGTCAGGGAGCTGTGCTGGGCTGCCCGGTGCTTCCTAAATCACCCCTATGTCTCCCCTCACTCTTTGGGGGAGGGGGGTCAATACGCCCCCAATATTAGCATCAGGGAGGTTAGAATCTCCCTTCTGCCCTGTCAGGATTATATTGATCCAGCCCGCAGAATAGTATCACACCCTAGAACTATGAGTAACGTCTTACCAGACCTTAGAATGGCCGGACTTAACGTACCCGAGAATAGTCAGAAAACTAGCCGAGTTCAGGAACACAAAACGATACACAGCTATAAGGAAAAGCCAAAAGTCAAGGGTACCAGAAATCAGGGAAGTCAAAACGAAGCCAAAGTCAAAAACCAGAAAAACACGATCAGGAACACACTCTGTAATAACCATCTAAAGGAAACCATGACAGGGCAATGAACTAAGGGAATATGAGAGTTTAAATAACCCTTTTGCAGATCCGATAGGCTGTACCTAGCCCTTGACCCCAAAACATGTGTGTTTGTCATTTGAGTGACGTCACCTGCACTTTGACATCGTCTTTACCGTGGATTGAAGTGGGGATATATAATTGTGTGGGTCCACAGCGGCCGGCGTCCTTTGGCATGTCGCAAAAGTCAGACATGATAGCAGAAGACGGGAAGGTAATTATCTCAGTTTTTGTCACATAGAGACGAAGAATACGTGACGTGCCCCTACTCAATGTGCCATAAAAGTGCTACCAAGCATTTATTTGAAGGACATAAAAGACAAAGCAGACGTTTTGGCCACAAACTCGTTGTGCAATAAGTAGAGGCATGTCTCCTAAACGGTGAGCAGCCAGTGTCTGCTCACTGTTGTAAAAAAGACATCCTGCGCCAAGTCCAATTGTGGGGCACCTATTTTAAAAAATGAATAAGAGGAGGCATAGTGTCCCCCTCCAGCCTCCACTCTTGCCCCATGAGTGAGGACTATTCAACTACACGGGGAATCTAGTGCCCCTCATGCCCCCACCAATTAGAAGCATGTGGGGGCCCTAAGAAAAAAGGGGGGAAACTATTGTCTACCTGCCCACACCCATTAGCAGTGGATGGGGGCCCTAACTGATAAGGGGGGGGGACAACGGGGTATTCAGACCCTAAGTGATTAGAGTGGACCTATTGTCTCCCCTAGAACCCAATACATTTTTAACTCCAGCTAATTGCACCATTGGTGTTAAATGTATTTATTAGGGTGTGTCTGGTGTTACAAATTACTACATTGATCTCTTGAGAATCTTGGTCTGCTTGTACAGCAATTAGCAACATGGTAAAGTTAATAATGAAAGAGGTAGGGGTGTGTGTGTGTGTGTCCTTCTGCAGGTGCTTAGTAATACGTAAGGCCGTAGGACAGATTTTTCAGAAGTTCAAACTTAAATGTCATACTGAATTCGTATGATTTCACTTTAATCAATTGTAAGCCACGTTATTTAATGTTTTAAGAACCTGCTGCCATGATCCATTTCAATTAAACCCTCGAGACCTCTCCCAGACTCAATGTCTCCTGCCAGCAAACACATTTACTTTCCTACGAAGTCAGCGAACACAAATTCCCATTTGTAATGCTTCAGGCATTCCCATTTGCAATGCTGCAAAGCTTAATAAAACTGATTTTTAAAAGTAAATCTCTTACTTGTGCACACATGCACCCTCTTAAAATAAATTGTATGAATCACATTTACCAGACTGTAATTTAAATGATTGCGTACACAAAAACAAGTAAAGTGTCATAAATTATGTCTTAAGCAAAATTTACATTTTACATATATATACACATATATATCTCACCCTCTAGCATTATACTATATAATGGGGCATGCAACGTGTGGTTATTGTGGTTATATAGAAGACCACATTATTAAGTTCCCCAGGCTAATAATGCCAGTCAGAGTAACATTATATTGTTAGTAGAAACCCACTTTTTAAAGATACTATATTTTAAGATAAAAACAGTGTAAGGCATAGATACGGATGCCATAGAGAAATTTGACACACCTAAAATTGTAATCTTGTTTTGTTATGCGCTTGCATGAAATTACTGAAACATTCATGTGGCTTCCACATTTGATTGTTCTGTAACTGTGATGTATTCGGCAGTGCCATTCTCAATATGTGGTTCTGTATTCACTTCTTGACTAGATCTCCCTGTTTGTTTTAGTTTGTGGGGCAGTTTTAAGTCATCTAGACCATCTCAATGAAGTGGTCTGTGTGCAGCATTACTCCCAACTTTAGCCTGGTTGGAATCAAGGCAGGCCTTCTAAGGAGCATCACCAATGATGCAAGTTGCTTCACTGGTGATGCACTTAAATGGGTGGGCCAGTCCAGAAATTAGGCAGGTCCACACACTGAAGGGGAGTGTGAGCCTGGCGTCATGCATGCCAAGCTTACCGCCTCCTGGCCAGCCCCCTGCAGAGGGTACTATGCAGACTCTGTATAGTTCTTGTACCTGCTGCACAGCTCAAGAGCACCTAATGATGCTCTTGCCCTGTGCTGTCTGGGGCAGTTCCTTGGTTTCCCTGAATGTGAGACATTGAGGGACTAATATGGGACAGGACCCCATAATTGGGACTGACCCGCAAGTGGAAGTGTTGGGTGGCATGGTGCAGTGGCCTTGTAGTTTTAAGCCTGCCATATAAAACTTTAAAGGGGCACTATAGTGTCAGGAAAACAAATTGGTTTTCTTGACACTATAGTACCCTGAGGGTGCCCCCACCCTCAGGGTCCCCCTCCCCTTCAGTAGCTCCCCTAATTCCAGCGCCGGGCTCCCTTACCTCTCCTCCCCCGCCGACGTCAGCATCCTCGTCCGACGTCACAGGAGCCGAATGCGCATGTGTGGCAGTGCCGTGCGCGCATTCAAAGTGACCATAGAAAAGCATTTTTCAATGCTTTCCTACGGACGCTCTGCGTGATTGAGGCATAATATGCCTCAATCATTGCAGATGCGCCTCTAGTGGCTGTCCGGAAGACAGCCACTAGAGGCTGGCTTAACCCCAAATGTAAACATAGCAGTTTCCTTGAAACTGCTATGTTTGCATTTAAAGGGTTAAAACCTGAGGGACCTGGCACCAGGGCCGGATTAACATAGGGGCTGATGGAGCTGCAGCTCCAGGCCCAGGCCCATGGAATAGGCCCATTAAAAAAAAAAAAAAAAAAATTATTTTTATTTTTATTTATTTTTTTACACACTACTCTTAGGTTTGCCACCTGACTGGTATTTTAATGGCACAGACGGTATTTGGGCTGCCTGGCCCTGCCGGTATTGCAGTAATACCAGCAATACAAATGCAGGTAATTTTCTCAGAATAAATGGAAATTACTCTGCAATACCAGCACTGGCCAGTAGGGGTCACTGTGTGTGGAGAGAGTCAGGGATAGGAAGTTACAGAATATCCCTGCCTCTCTCTGCTACTCACTGATCCGTGGAGGAGCAGCTACACAGCACAGAGAGTCCAGACAGCAGCTCTCAGCCTGCAGCGACAGACTACAGCTCAGGGAAGTGAGGGATGGGGGGAAAGGCAGCAGGGACACATGGGGACACTGAGACACTAGGGGACACTAGGGGACACTGAGACACTAGGGGACACTGAGACACTAGGGGACACATGGGGACACAGACACTAGGGGACACATGGGGACACTGAGACACTAGGGGACTTATGGGGACACCTAGACACTAGGGGACACAGACACTAGGGGACACATGATGACACATACACTAGGGGACACTGAGACACTAGGACACAGACACTGGGAGACCTGGGAACACTGAGACACTTGGGGACACTGGAAAACTAGGGGACACTGAGACACTTGGGGACACAGACACTAGGGGACACCTGGGGACACTGTCACTAGGGGACACTGAGACACTAGGACACATGGGGACACAGACACTGGGAGACCTGGGGACACAGACACTAGGGCACACTGAGACACATGGGGATGCTGAGACACATGGAGACGCTGTGAGACATAGGGACATTGGGAGACATTGGGACACGGAGACACTATGTCCCCCAGCCAGTGTCCCTAGCGTCTCAGTGTCCCCAAGTCTCCCAGTGTCTGTGTCCCATGTCTCTCAGTGTGCCTATTGTCCCCATGTGTCCCAGTGTCCCCATGTCTATGTCCACAACTGTCCCCATGTCTCCCCAAGTGTCTGTCTCCCAGCCAGTATCCCCTAGTCTCCCAGTGTCCCCTAGTCTCCCAGTGTCTGTGTCCCTAGTGTCTTAGTGTCCCCAAATGTTTCAGTGTCTCCATGTCTCCCAGTGTGTTCCTGGTGTCCCCATGTCTCCCAGTGTCCCTATATGTCCCAGTGTCCACATGTCTATGTCCACAACTGTCCCCATGTCTCCCAGTGACCCCAAGTGTCTGTCTCCCAGCCAGTGTCCCCTAGTCTCCCAGTGTCCCCTAGTCTCCCAGTGTCTGTGTTCCCATGTCTGTGTCCCTAGTGTCTTAGTGTCCCCAAATGTTTCAGTGTCCCCATGTCTCCCAGTGTTTGTGTCCCTAGTGTCTCAGTGTCCCCATTTCTCCCAGTTTCCCTAAATGTCTCAGTGTCCCCGGGTCTCTCAGTGTCCCCGGTATCCTTGTGACATGGGGACACACTGAGACATTGGGACACTGGGAGAAATGGGGACACAGACACTGGAAGACTAGGGGACTGGGCGACATGGGGACACTGACACTGTGATACATAGGGACACTGAGACACTGGGTGACTTGCGAGACTGAGACACTGGGAGCAATCCATCTATACAGCAGAATCAAACTGTGAGTAGTTTGGTGATTTTACAGAATTTTCTCTGATGTCACTCCTTGTGATTTACATCATGTGATGTCACGCATAACTAATTAATTATACAAATGATTAAGGCTGGAATTTTTTTCCAAGAAGGTGGCAACCTTAACTACTCTTCACATACTCTTGCTTAGAGGAGCACTATAGGGTCAGGAACACAATCATGTATTTCTGACCCTATTATGTTAAAACCACCACCCTGGCCCCTTCTTGCCTCCCTAAATATAGTAAAATATTACTTGTATTCAATTCTGCAGCTGCTGGCTCAGAAGTGGTGGTCTGAGCAAATTACAATACTTCCCCATAGGATTGTCTGAGACTGTCAACTAGGCAGATCAGGGGCAGAGCCAGCACAAGTCCAACATAGCCCTGGCCAATCAGCATCTCCTTATAAAGATAAATTGAATCAATGCATCTCTATGAGGAAAGTTCAGTATCTGCATGCAGAGGGTGGAGACACTGAATGGCAGTGCTGCACACTAGGCAGTACTGCCCAAGGAAGCACCTCTAGCAGCCATCTAAGGACCAGCCAGTGGAGTTATTTTCTCTGAAAAGACAGTGTTTACTGCAAAAAGCCTGAATGGAATGATTCTACTTACCAGAAGAAATACAATAAGCTGTAGTTGTTCTGGTGACTATAGTGTCCCTTTAAGTTTGGAAGCTTAAGAGGATGTATGGGAACAAAACTTGTGTGCACTTGCTGACATTAAAGTTAGTTTAGGTAATGCAGACGTTGGTCTCTCTAACACTGTGGCATGTCCCCTTTCTTCTACACTCACTACAGACATCTTTTCTCTGTCTCAGACTATATACCAGGAACTTCTGCCTGCTAGTAAGAAGGTAAGGAGACAAGTGGACCAGCGAGTGCTAGGGGACAGTCCTTAGAAAGAATTGAGCGAGCGCATCATTAGACGCATTTATGTCAAGCTCAAGGTGCTGCCTGCATAGTATGCCCTTAGTTGGACAGCCTGCAGGATTGGCAGGCAGCCTGACATGCATTCATGCCAGGCTGACCTTCCAATTCTTTGGACAAAGATGCCCCTTTTTGGGCATGTTCACCCCTTTTGGCAGGTCTTGCCACGTGATTTGCGCCAGTGGCACACCCTTTTATCCCGCCCATTAACTTCCTGCATTACTGGACACTGCTGTTAGGGGTTATGGATTTACTTGAAAGATGAAAACATAAATTAGAGAGAGATTAGCATAGGGTATGTGTTTTCTTATAGCTGCATCCTATGAGTTTCCCTCCAGCACCATCTCCATCAGATACATGGCGCTTGGGAGGTATGATTGTTTTAGTGTTTTTGGTCAATAAGATTCTGTAATTAGGCCCATCATAATTGTCAGCACCAGGCCCACTGTGCTCTTAATCCGGCCCTGCCTGGCACCCAGACCACTTCATTGAGCTGAAGTGTTCTGGGTGACTATAGTGTCCCTTTAACTTTTTCATTTTGTAGAGACTGCAATGTTTCCAAAGCAGGATTAATTACATCTCTAGTGGTTTTCTTCCTGACGACCAGTAGATACGCTTCCTCTACAACAGGACATTGCAGCACATAAGAAAGCATTGCATTCATGAGAAACTCTTTGAGGCGCATGGATTGGAACATTGGCTTGAGAGCCGGGGGATGTTGCAATAGGTAGAGCAGACAGCAGCGGTGAGGTTTTCTTGAGCAAAGTTAAGTAAAAAATGTTTTTGGAATTTTTGTCATAATTTTACTCGAAGGCAAAGGGGGAGAATGACAAAAACTGATCTGATTTATTAGGACACTGCAGTTAATAATTTTGATGTTTATGGGGGAGTTAATTGTTTTATTTTGTTTTTTATTGTTGGGTTTTCTTTGTGGGTGAGCGGGGGTGTTCTATATGTAGAAGAGCATAAATTGTGCTCCATATCTGGAAAAGTCATCTGCAAAAAAGAAAGCACTGGGCTTATTTCACCTCTCCGACAAATGATCCAGCATGTAGTTTGATCATTCTCTTTTGTAATACAGGTCTCCACCATGCATCACTGTCCTAATTCCTAATTCCTAATGTAGACAAACCATTTATTCTTCTGCCCTACCTGATATTTAACAGAAAAAAACCTCATGGACTTCATTCACTTTATTTAACATCAGAATTGAGTCCTGATTACTGCCAACTAACATAGCCTGTCAATGAATAGTTCATCTTGAATTTACCCCAAAATGAAGTGGTTAAAGGGACACTCCAGACTTCTAAAGCACTCCAGCTTGCTGAAGTACTTTATGTGTGAACAGTGTTTCCTCTTTTTATTTTACAAAAAAAGTTCATATTTCAATAGAAAATGTCTATTTTATAAATTAACCTTGCTACACCCTCCTGACGCTCAGTAAGGCTACCGGTCTTGTTACTTCTTGCTTGTTTAGCATAATGAAGCTAAACTCAAGAGGCACCTGCCTTGCAAAGACTTATCATTAAGCTGCATTGGGAAGTCTGTGATTGGACAGCCACAGAAAGTCAGGGCGGGATTAAAAGAGGAGGGCTTGCAAAGGCTGCAGGCAAGAGATCTGCAGGTTTTGCCAGCTGGTTTTATATATAAGAATAATTTAAAATGCATTTATGTTTTCATTGGGCGTATATCTACTAAAATGGGATTTTATTTTATTTATAGGTGGAAGATAGCAGTTACTTCTTTCTGGTATTACTAGATTCTGAAAGTGATCAAGTGTTTTTTTTTATTTTTATCCTAAGTGCATAGAAAGGGTACATAGTTTATTTGGTGAGTTCCTAATATTGCCCAATGTGAAATGTTAAAAATTACATTAGAATTATCATGTGGTGTAGGAGTAGAAAGAAATCAATATAGCAACATTGTCTTTAGTTAGAATGCCACATAGATTAGCCAATATTGCATGTGGGTAAGAAGCAACCTAGAGATGTCTTTAGTGTTTACTATGTGTTCATTATTAGACAGTGGCAGCTGGTGAAGTTTATTGATGGTGGGACTTTGTGTACTCATCCCCTGACCCACTGAGATGTCATGCCCTATTCAACACCATAAACTTAAAGATAAACTTGTTTCGGGGAAGAAAACAAGCCCTTTAAAGAAGTCTAACTCCACCCCTGAGACTCAATTAACTAAAATGTACAGTATACAATATGGTTTCAATATGGTATCACTATATAGGTTAACTCTATATGTATTATAAATATGCATACTTAAAACAAAAACTTAAAAATATATTTAAAAAAAAAAAAAAAGATTTCCACTAACTATAAATTCATTATCTGCAACTAAGAAATTTAGAGGGAAAAATAATGGGTTATAAACTAAATTGTGTATTATCAAGAATTCACCAGAGTATTACAAATGTTTAGGTCAAAGTAGACTCTAGATCAGTTATGTTTGTAGCCAGTGACATAACTAGGGGGATATGGATCACACAGGGTGACTCCAACAGAAGGAGTGACACACAGCAGACCAGCCCATGTGTGTTTTCATGGGCCAGTGATGGAGATCAAAGATCTCCCTTAATGGCCAAGTGAACCTACTACACAGGCTTCTGGTTTGCACCTTTCTTGGGTGCAGATCTTGCATATACCATTCGCGAGCTCCGGCACTATCCCTAAAAGTAGTGGAGCATTGTAGTGGTAGCAGTAGCACCCTGACACTATTAGAGAGCAGGAACTTGAAACAACAATGTAGAAGGTCTGCGCCTAGTGTTGGTGCAGACCAGAAGAGCTCACCACTAGACATCCTGAGATCTAAATTTCCCCCTTCCTGGGCCAAGGTAACAAGAGGGAGGAGGGGGTATATAAATTGTATGAAGTTACTTGCTTCCTCACCTACTTCATGCACACACAGCATATCCCACCTCACACGACATCAACAAAAACACGTGAGACAACGCTGTTTTCGTTGCTGCTGGTATTTGTATAATTGCTTATATACAAGCAGGGTCCTCATCAATCCATTGTTCTTGTAACATTTTGTAATTGTCTCATTTATTGTTAATCTTCCCCCTTTTTATAAAGTTGCAAAGCGCTGCGGAATAAGTTGTTGTTCTATAAATACCAAAAATAATACGATCTGGTACGGGAGGACCATGGGGGTGGGGGGGTGACACCATGAGTTATCATACTGGGTTACACCAAGCCTAGTAAAGCAACTATTTGTAGCTCAACTATTTTAGTGTTAATTTTGTAATTTTGTGGGGAATTTACATCACTTCTCGGTTTAGTGAATAACAATTAGCCTGTTCAATGGAATAGGATGTTAAATAATGAGAACTGACTTTCATTTTAGCTACTTGGTGCCTATCCTATAGATTGCAAGCTCATTTGAGCAGGGTCCTCTTCAACCTATTGTTCCCGTAAGTTTTTTGTAATTGTCCTATTTATAGTTAAACTCCCCCCCCCCACCCCATAATATTGTAAAGCACCACGGAATCTGTTGGCGCTATATAAATGGCGATAATAATAATAACAACCACTTTATAGCAAGACACTGTCCTGTTTCACAGTAACATGCAATGGACGGAACTTGACCCCGGTGGTGGAATAGTTAATCATGTTTCCAAGTGAGGTAGAGAGATTCCATAAAGCAGCAATGACTAACCTGCTCTCCAGCCATACAGTCAACATCTGTCTTTTCCAGCTAAACATCTGCACGGTGCCGTTGCAGAGAGGGACGTCTTTGTTGTGTTCCCCCAAACTCTCCTGGGCTAGGGCGGTATCGACGACAGCGTATCATCGGACAGTGTGCATTAAAAGCCAGATTAACTCTCAGACAGGGATAGTCCGAGGGAATGCCGAGTCTTGCCTTCTCTTCCTAGGTATTTGTAGCCTTAGGGGGACAGAGAAATAAAGGAAACCTGATCATTTCTGATTTCGAGTTGTGTCGTAATGAGATGTCTTGTGCCAGATGAGTAGGGTTTGGAGGCTGGCTGTCTACAAAGGGGAGGAAAGTAACATGACAGCAACCAAAACATTCCATCTGCTCCAGATGTAAAACATCTTTCCATGTTCTACTTGGCCCTTTGCAATATATTACACAATTTATGTCTGCTTCTACTGCATGCAGCAGACTCTTAATTCAGTGGTAATCCTGTGCTTGTTTATACCAGACTGCAAGCTGTTCAAAGCAGACTGTGGGTTTTAAAATAGATTGCAAGCTTATTGCAGACTTTTCTTTTTTTGGGAGGGGGGGAAGGAGGGAGCTAGAGAGGGGTGTTAGTTTTTCTTTTTTAGTCTTTTAGGGAGACCAAGCTAGACTAGTTTTTTTTTTTATTATTATTATTTTCTTTTATGCACTAAAGTCTTAATAGTCTGAAATTCACTTTAAATCCTTAACTTTAGACCAAAAAAGTTGATTGGAAATATCACCCAAGTCAGATAAGCTTTTAGTGCGAATGTTACGGTCTAGAATTTGAAATTCATTTGAGTTCACTTTGAATTACCGACAATTAATTTTAGCGAATGACCTGAACAGATTTATTAGTCGTGCCTGCCCAACAGATTTATCAGCTTTAATATGCATAAAGCGAGACATGATTTTTTAAATTCCTCCAAATGTCTGCAGTGCGATACAAGATAAACCCTTGCTCCAATCAAAGGAGCATTTTCTCCCATCTATTAAAACCCCAGGCGCCAAAATATGGTGTGTGATCATCTATATCATTTGTAACAACTCCAGACAATGCTAATTGCCTTCCATTATTGATGTCTGACCATACTTCTAACCATTCTTTTGGGAATCCTTTTGTAACACATTCACTTATAGTTCGTAATAGAATTGATCCATTTTATTGTGGTCCTTTAATGGTCAGTGATTGCTGTAAATACTTCACAGTATGGCTTTCTGATGACACATACTTTTTCGGTTCTTTAAAGTGGTTGCTGACCATCCAGTATTACCGATCAGTTATTATTGATCCGTTCTCGCACGCTGGATGAATGCCAGGTGCTTAAGACCTAATAATAACTACGAGTAGCTGGGTAAGTGTTCACTGAAAACACGACTGCAGCAAGGTTCTTAGCATCATAATGCCTCATAACGCTGTACAATTAGGGCAGAACATACAATATGCATAGACCAATACAAAAGCTAAAGAAGACCATGCCTGTGAGCTAAGATCTAGCCATTGAAGCTCTTTTAGATAGACAGCCCGTGACCTTACAATCTAAAGGATATAATGGGGATTTGAGACAAGAGGTAGCTGGGGAAATTTGGAAGTGATGGCCTGAGGAAATTAACAGGGAGTTTTAGGTTTCATCATAGTTTTAATTTTTCATTTTTTAACTGATCTTAGTTTCCATAATCAAACGCAATAGGTTGTACATGTTACTGACTTTATATATGCACAGATAAATGTGGGCTCAGCACGCAGGGATGTAGAGCCAGTAGGAACTCCATGTACATCTGCCATTCAAAGATGCCATGCATGTTTATTTCTGAATTTTTAGCAAAATGTAAAAAAAAAAACTATAGTAATGGCAAGTAAAGCCAACGGATAATGATATGGTTGCTATACACATACATAAATAAAAAATAAATAATATATATATATACATATTAGAATGCATCAGGTTTGCATCTTCGGTGGATTTTATAAACTGCAATAATTTACTTGCAGGGTTAAGTCCTCCTCTAGTGGCTGTCTATCAGACAGCCACTAGAGGGGCTTCCAGGTTCTTAACACTCGAAAAGTGAATAATGCTTTCCTATGGGGAGGTCTGCCGCGCTTGCGCATTAGGTCTCCCCCGCTGGTCTGCTTCAAAATATATAACAAAAGAATAAAGGATGTTACAGGGTGATGGATATTCAACAGAAATTATATTTTACTTCTTTTCTTTTATCTTTTTTGTTTCTGTTTAACAATGTCAGTGACTGTTTACTTGTAAAATGTTGTATCAAATAAAATAAGAAGCCTATAAAGATAAATCGATAGAAACAAACCTAAAAAAACATGAATTTTATAGAACACAAAAAAGTATCATAAATGTGATTTGTATTATTTTGATTAAAGAAACACTCCAAGCACCATGAACACTACAGCTTGTTATGGTGGCCGGCTCTGTTAAACATCCATTGAAAATGCTTGGGGGCAGGCTCTCTCTCTTCTTTGCCGAGTCCAGCAAGCATTTTCTGTTCAAATGAACTGGCCCTTCACAGGAAGGAAAGCTGCTTGCAGGACCAATAAGCTCTAATTTCCTTCTGAAAGGAGCACCGGACGGACAGTGTGACGCACTCATGGCACTATAACCACTACAGTGTGGTGATGGAGCTTGGAGGGTTCCTTTGATGCAGGCTTCCCCAAACGCCGGCCCTCAAGATGTTGCTGAATTACAACTCCCATGATTCTATGAATGAAATAGATAGGCTGAGAATCATGGGAGATGTAGTTCAGCAACATCTGGAGGGCCGGCGTTTGGGGAAGCCTGCTTTAATGTGAAGAATCATTAAGGAACTCATCAACTTGTACTTCCCATCAGTGATGGTGAAAGAGCACTAGAATCATATTTAGATCCTGAGGAATCTGCATATTTTTCATTATTTGGGTTATACATTAAGTGTGGTGGGCAGGAATGTAGCCTGGAGTAAGGCTTCCATCAATATTGGGTGGAAATCATGAACATTAAATCCACAGGTGCCTTCCTGTTGTAAATTGGTTCTAACCTGCAGTTCCTTTGAACGTCAAGCTTTTGAAGCAGAACACGCCATTTATTAATTACAGGGCTAATGTAGTATGCCGACAGATCTGATACTCTGTAATTGTAGACTGTTAAATACTATCTTACTATTCTCTAAGTATCCATTAGCTGTTCTCTGAAGACCTGCTAATAAATGTTTCACAGCTGCCCTGCAAAGACAATATATTTAACTCTTTAATTCAAGTGCAGCGGAGATGTGGTTTTATTTTTTTTCTTTCTTCTTTAATTGCCTCTGTCAACTGAATTTATTTACATAAATCAATTTAAAGAAATATTCACAATGGGCTACTGCTATTTTACTACAAGCTGTAGTAAATTATATGGTTTACTACAAGCTGAAGTTTTATTATATAGTTTAAATATATTAAATAGCAACATAAGCCTTTCTTAACCCCTTAAGGACCAAACTTCTGGAATAAAAGGGAATCATGACATGTCACACATGTCATGTGTCCTTAAGGGGTTAAAGGACCACTATAGTGCCAGGAAAACATACTTGTTTTCCTGGCACTATAGTGCCGTGGGGGTGCCCCCACCCTCAGGGTCCCCCTCCCGCCGGGCTCTGGGGAGAGGAAGGGGTTAAAATCTTACCTTTCTCCAGCGCCGGGGCGGGGAGCTCTCCTCCTCCTCCATAGCGATATCATCGGCTGAATGCGCATGCGCGCGCATTCAGCCAGTTCATAGGAAAGCATTTAGAATGCTTTCCTATGGACGCTGGCGTCTTCTCGCCTGTGCGGAGCGTTGCCATGGTAACAGCCGCGGGTCTCGCGAGAGTTAGAGCTGGAGGGGGAACACAGCGTGTGATGGCCCCTCAGTGCAGGTAGCAGGGCCGGTCCTGCAGGACAGGTAACGGGAACGGCGTTCCTGCTTTGGAAAAAGTGCAGGAACGCCGTTCCCATGCGTTCCTGCAGGACTCGAGCCCTGCCCTAAGGGTTACAAGATATTGTAGTAAAAAAATCCCTATAGGGGAACAAAGTAAACAGAATATGGTGCAATAAAATAGTGAATTAAGGGGGGCGGAGCCTGACAACGGAACCGAGCGGACGCACAATAGTGGAGCTCCCGCTTGGATACTTACAATCCAGCCGATTTGGGAACACCCGATACCGACCTTGATCACAGACGCTGGGTCTAAAACCAGGACAGCCAGCCGAAGCCGCCGATGCCGTTTTTTCTTGCGCCCGGCTCCAAAACACGACGCAGAGGCGGTAAGGCCTACCACGCGGGCGGACGGCAGAGAGACTCAGAGGAGGGAATCTGGCCCTGGGGCTCACCTGCTCTGGAAGACTGGTACCACAGCCTGCCACACACAGGTGAGATGGGGCGCAAGTCTCAGAAACCACCCACACATACCCCAAGGCCCCAGCGCGACATAGGCCAGATGTTGCAGGCCCCAAGTGCAGCGCAGACCACGTCCCATCGGGACTCCTCTCCACTGCCCTCAGAGGAAGGAGAACCACCTGATAGCCCACTCACTCCATGTCATGCAGCTCCCCCACGGGTAATGGAGGATAATGCCCCAGCATCCAGGAGTGATATCCAGGCCATGCTGACAAGCCTGCAACAAAACCTCAGGCAAATGTGGGAGGCTGACCTGGCAGTGCTAAAAGGGGATGTAAATGCTGTGACACTACGTACACAAGCTACAGAGAATGAAGTGGAAACCCTGAAACAAGGCCTACAAGAGCTGGGGGAGAAAGTACAAAAACTAACCACCACACAGACTGCCCTCTCCAGACAAGTCAACCTACTGGACGACAGGGGGAGACGCAAAAACGTTAAAATCAGAGGGGTGCAGGAATCCATCCCACTGGAGGAACTACCACATTTCATCAGACGCCTCGTAGCTGCACTACTTCCAACCAGACAAGCCAAAACCTTCTTATTCGACGGAGTCTACAGAATTGCGAAATCCCCGCAGGCACCCAGCGCAGCACCGCGAGACATCATATTACGGTGCCAGTCTATGTCAGACAAATTGGGACTTTTAGCAGCGCTCCAGGGAAAGACTCCTATGGAATTTGAGGATTGCCGATTATCCTTTTTTCAAGACCTGAGCAGAGCCACACTACTATGGCGCAAACAAATGCAACCACTTACTAAACCACTCCACGCAGCAGGCATTACCTACAAGTGGTCGACTCCGGGGACCCTATGGGTTACCAAAGACAACAAACATTACAAGGCCACGGATCCCTCTGAGGGCCCAGCTCTAATGGCGACATTGGGACTCCCAACTCTGCCGACAATTTCAACGCCACGGCCAGGCCACCGACCCAGGAGGGTTGAAGCAACAACAACGGCTACACCCAGACCCCATGGAGACACCAAGTCCTGAAACGACGCGCTCGGTCTGGGACTTTTGGACTTTTACTGAGACTCTCTTACTAAAATGTTTAGTTACGCTTACAAGCGTTAGTATTACTGGTTCACCTCTTTCTGTTATAGTGGGATAGCGACCTATTGGAGGCCCCACCAGCCGGCTCTGGCGACAACTCCCTCCCTCCCCCCCCCCCGCCCTGGGGTAATAGGGTACTACCAGCACGGGAGCCTTACACTCACACATAGTCTAACGCTTTCTTCCTCCTCTCACGCCGTGGGTTCTTTGCCCTCTGGGCGCAGATAGGCTTCCATACAGCTCCCACCCACCTAGACACCCACTAGACTCAAACATTTATTACAGCATGCTTACACACAGCCACCTTCATCACTATACTTAGCTAAGCCACACAGCGCACCTCCAGTCCAGGCAAGAGCCATGCAGCGTATGAAGGAAGGTATAATAGACATAACCTAAAACCATATAGGATGCCGCTGAAGGGAGTGCCACGACTCCCCACACACCAAACACGGCTCTAGCCCTGAACTCCATATGGAGTACCATAACCAAACAGATACCAGAGATCAGATGGGGATTCGACTCCCACAAACAAAAGCTTATCGAATACTGCATGCCCCACACGCTGGATGGCTTCAAGGTAACTGCGCTGGCACACATAGTCGAGTGAACACTCACCCAAAACTTCCACAGTTAAGGCCCACGTTACAACATCCCAGCCCAATATAACTTAAAAAAAAAATGCGAAATGTATCCTAACAGTATATTTAATGTAGCATGTTCCTGTGAGCCATGTACATATGGATTGCGGCAATATTAACATGTTTGTCCTTTTATCGCATGAAAATAAAGATTTATAAAAAAAAAAAATAGTGAATTAAGTGGTGTAAATAATTGCAATAGGGATCAACTCACATGATACAGTGCCTCTTAAGGACCGGCTCTGATCTCTTCCACTTTTGTGTCCCTAAAGGTGACACACACCTTTGACGTCCATATCAGGTGAAAACCTCAATATAGGGAACAGAAATGGAAGAAAACAGGGAAGCAGAGCTGACCCTGCTGTTGAAATCCTCAATAGAATATTATAAAGAAGAAATAAAATTGTCTTCTCACCTTATCCAGAGCCCTTAACTTGGCTCTGAGTGCATCATCAAATGTGGCAATTCAGGGTGTCACAACCCTTCTTTATAGCAGCATGGATAAATCTTCAGACTTGTTTAAAAATTAATAAACATTTATTGTGTTCAAATAAAGAATAAAAAAATGAATAAAAGTATCTATACAAACAAGTCCAAGTGTCCAAAAATGTCCGAGACGCGTTTCACTGAGATAAGTGCCCGGCGAGATGAGGAACAGAGTTTCTACTTCCAAACTGTGTATAAAGGTTTGACTTGGTTCTGTTGTGGTTTTACCCTCTTTCTGTTTCTAAAGATGCCTACGTAGATGGAGGCCCTATTGTCCATCCTGACATTTGTGCTGGAAGGCTAATTCAGAATGCTGGTAGCTTCTAAGGGCACTGTCCATCACATTCTGATTCCTCAGAATCTTATGAAGTTCTTGTTGTTGACTGTTGACTGACTGTTGACTGAGAGCTGCCTGTTTATCATCTGGCATTCACCATCGAGTGTATACCATTGGCATATTAGTTCAGATGGCTTTTTCTGACCTGGCTGTTCCCAGTGCCAATCTACTTATCTCAGTTGGTATTTTCTAATATATGGTGTAGAAAAATACTATTTCTCTTACGTATGTTATAATTCTTCTGTGTGTCAGTTATAAATATCAACATGCACCAGCCTTATGTTTTCAGTAGGTTTATTCTTCTTACAATTACTAATTTATAATACAATAACAAAGGATGTTGTTACTGGCTGACGGATATTCAACAGCAGATGTTAACTTCTGGTCTCTGGAAGAGAGAGACATAGTCTTTGTCTTTGTGCAGAAAGTCAGGGGAACAGAATGTGGTCCTTTGGGTACTGTTAATTTTTTTAACCCATTAACCCATTAAACATCCATATATAATATGAATGGAAAAATGGGTTCCCCGTCTGGGATCTCTTGGTATCACTCTTTTAGTGTCACTGTACCTTCCAGGGTTTGACTGAAACATTCTACCTCCCTATCACTGGGCTTTGAGTCTTGACTTTGCGATGGATTAGATAAGAGTTCTAAGCCTTACATTGGCATTGTTGGATGTGGTGTCCTTGGTTCCATTTGCCCCTCTGCAGTGGTACTTTTTCTGCTAGTAGAATTAAATTTCTGAATTTTTCTCTAGTCTATTATATATGGTTTCATCTGATGATGGTCTCTTATCCTTGGTGGATTCGTTATTATTGGTAAGGTAAACGTAGTAAATTGACCACTTATGTATATACAGTATCTCACAAAAGTGAGTACACCCCTTACATTTTTGTAAATATGTTGTTATATCTTTTCATGTGACAACACTGACGAAATGACACTCTGCTACAATGTAAAGTAGTAACTGTACAGTCTATATAACAGTGTAAATTTGCTGTCCCCTCAAAATAACTCAACACACAGCCATTAATGTCTAAACCATTGGCAACAAAAGTGAGTACACCCCTAAGTGGAAATGTCCAATTGGGCCCAAAGTGTCAATATTTTGTGTGGCCACCATTATTTTCCAGCACTGCCTTAATCCTCATGGGCATGGAGTTCACCAGAGCTTCACAGTCCTCTTCCACTCCTCCATGACAACATCACGGAGCTGGTGGATGTTAGAGACCTTGCGCTCCTCCACCTTTCGTTTGAGGATTCCCCACAGATGCTCAATAGGGTTTAGGTCTGGAGACATGCTTGGCCAGTCCGTCACCTTTACCTTCAGCTTTTTTAGCAAGGCAGTGGTAGTTTTAGAGGTGTGTTTGGGGTCGTTATCATGTTGGAATACTGCCCTGCAGCCTAGTCTCCAAAGGGAGAGGATCAGTATGTCACAGTACATGTTGGCATTCATGGTTCCTTTAATGAACTGTAGTTCCTCAATGCCAGCAGCCCTCATGCAGGCCCACCATGCTTGACTATAGGCAAGACACACTTGTCTTTGTACTCCACACCTGGTTGTCGCCATACATGCTTGACACCATCTGAACCAAATAAGTTTATCTTGGTCTCATCGGACCACAGGACATGGTTCCAGTAATCCATGTACTTAGTCTGCTTGTCTTCAGCAAACTGTTTGCGGACTTTCTTGTTCATCATCTTTAGAAGAGGCTTCCTTCTGGGACGACAGCCATGCAGACCAGTTTGATGCAGTTTGCGGTGTATGGTCTGAGCACTGACAAACTGACCCTCCCCCACCCCTTAAACCTCTGCAGGAATGTTGGCAGCACTCATAGATCTATTTCCCAAAGACAAACTCTGGATATGACGCTGAGCACGTGCACTTAACTTCTTTGGTCGAAATGGTGAGGCCTGTTCTGAGTGGAACCTGTCCTGTGAAATTGCTGTATGGTCTTGCCCACCGTGCTGCAGCTCAGTTTCACGGTCTTGGCAATCCTCTTATAACCTAGGCCATCTTCATGTAGAGCAACAATTCTTTTTTTAAGATCCTCAGAGAGTTCTTTGCCATGAGGTGCCATGTTGAACTTCCAGTGACCAGTATGAGAGCGTGTGAGAGCGATAACACCAAATTTAACACACCTGCTCCCCATTTACACCTGAGACCTTGTAACACTAACGAGTCACATGACACCGGGGAGGGAAAATGGCTATTTGGGCACACTTTTCCTCACTTTTATTGCCAACGGTTTAGACATTAATGGCTGTGTGTTGAGTTATTTTGAGGGGACAGGAAATTTACACTGTTATACAGGCTGTATACTTACTACTTTACATTGTAGCAGAGTGTCATTTCTTCAGTGTTGTCAAATGAAAAGATATAAAATATCACTTTTGTGAGCTACAGTATGTGTTTGTGTGTTGCTTTCGACAACTGTTAAATTAACAGTAAACATTTAATAATGAAACATATGGTCTTTGCAATATGTTATTTATAAAGGCTTAAAATAAAAAAATTACTATGTGGTATTCCTAAAAATCATGACTTTTAAATGTTAATGCATTTTTCTATTGATGAACATATTCATATAAAACATTCAAAAAGTGAAAAGGAAATACTGTAAATCTTCACATTTATAAATGTATTTCACAAAAATACCAGGACATAAAAAGCTGTAGATATTGTGTTATGTCATTCCTTGCAATATTTCAGCCAGGATTTTGAATATTTGCATATTGGGAGTCATATTTTGTCACATTCAGTAAGTGTCAAAGTTTAAGAGTAAGTTGACACCCTGGTCTTTTCTGGTCAATTGAACCCAGGATATTGAAACTCTGGTGGGAATTGAACCCAGTATTCCTCCTCCATGGCTCAGTTGCCGAATGTACATTTGATGTACATTTAATGAACCCTTTGTTAACTTCTAAACTGGAGAGTGTCTCGAACTGAAGGGTGTCTGGCCCCAGGGGCCCTTTAGTTAATTGATCTGTGTTCCTGTTTTTTTTTTTTTATGTGTTTCTTGTAGATACATTTGCAAGTAAGAGCCAGCCACAGTTACTGAGTATTTTAACCCAGTTGTCACCTATCTAGCTGCTTTTGCATACCTGTCCACAGTATGTATATTGTCTTGATATCTTGTTCCTAATTGCCTGGACTCTATTGCATGCAGATTTGGCTCCTGCCATATTTGTTTGTACTCGTTCAAACCTCTGGGTTCCAAGAGCAACTTTGGGCTGTTATACTTTTAAGTATTTTGTTTAATCCAGTTTTAGGAGGCATGATCTCCTCAGCTGTCACTCTGGTGGGACTTGGACCTTGACATAAATTTCTGGTTACCTTGAGATTCCTACTCCTAAAGCATCCTTTTATGATCTGTGCATCCAGTCTCAGTAAATTGGTATCACCATGGTTCTAGAAGTCTAGTTGGCATTCAATATGCAATGTAACAGATAAAGAGTAGCAAGGGGGGAGTAGCAAGAGGCTACATATTAAACACAAAACTACCATATTTTGCCAATGGATGTTCACAATAATTGTTCTTTGATCAAATCATTATACACACATTACAATATATAGAATAAATCCAGTCATTTTTTTTTTCAATAAAAGCATGACATTTCTGAGCATTGCACCATTGTCTATAAATTTGAGAGGACATGAGCTTTGAGATGATTAAGATCATCACTACTGAGGCGAAAGCCATGTAAAAATCCAGAGCGGACGCCATTGTGCCGAGCTCCGACTGAATACCGCACAATCCGCCGAAAATCAAAGGCATCCTGCCCAATCAACGGACACAAAAGACTCGGACAACTGCAGCACTACCAACCGCACCCGCTGATGCCCTTTTTTGCCATCCCGGGCGCAAAAACCTGAACCCAGGGCTCTAAGGCATACCACGCGGGTAGACTGCCACAAGACATCCTAGAGAGGGGTGATAGGGGGATAAGAAAAAAAACTAAAGATTACAGGGGCCCAGAATCACTGTCCCTGGAGGAACTACCCCATTTCATCAGACGCCTGATGGGTTCAGTACAAGCAGGCCAAACTGTTATTGATCAACGGAGTGTACAGGATCGCAAAATCTGCTGCACAATGACAGACAAGTTGGGGCTACTAGCTGCATTCCAAGGGAAACCCCTCTACGAATTCAAGACCTACCAACTATCCCTCTTCCAGGACTTAAGTGGGGACACACTTCCATGGTGCAAAATGATGAGGCCCTTTACAGTACAACTGCAAGAAGCAGGGATCACATACCGGTGGGCGACACCTAAGACCCTCTGGGTCTCCAAGGAGGGACAAAGCTATAAGGCCTCAGGACCCCAAAGAGGGCCCAGCCTGTTGTCTGCACTAGGATTGCCTGATCAACCTACTGCCGCTACTACCCGGCCTACACCAGCGAACCAGGGAAGCATGAACGTCTCCGCATCCAGACGGAAACGAGCTTCCACAACCTAACTACAAGACATCCGACATTATGTTTGGCTTCTCAGTTGGGACTCACTAAGTTACCCATATGGTTTGATTTTAATTTAAATGTTTGTTCAAATGTCACTAGCTCGGCCCATCATAAGCGGGCCTGTTCACACTTGGTCACTAAGCCTCCACATCTGGTCATTAAGACATGGATGAAGCTCCCTGAGAACACAACTCTGTGATCCGGTGCAAAATCTCTCCATCCTCTTCCCTCCTATGGCCCCAGGGTACAGGGGCAAGGCATTCAATGGAGCTTGGTGCCTATTGAGTTAACAATAGTGATTACAGGACTGGCGATGGAGCTTCAATTGTAGCTTCAGGATGTATTCACAAAGTAACATAAAAATTTATCAGCTACTTATACCATTTCCTCCCATATAGAAGGGTAGGAAAAATCAAAATGGCTGAAATATTGGTCTAGTAGGGGTTCTGTAATACACATGAACCAGTACACATTAAGATAAATATAATAATTGGGAAAATAAATTGTCCCACTTATGGTTAAAATCCAAAAGCTGTGTCAGTTATATAGTGTAGCAGACAGAGTGCTTACTATAAAAGATTTTATTAGCACAAATACACTGTCAAAATCATACACATTTGTATAAAAGACAAATAAATGTTCCAAGTGAAAAAAGCAGATAATACCAAGTTAATAGTCTGAGGGTCCAATGTTGTTAATATCTCTCTCTCACCGGCCGGATGAAAATTAGTCTGGACCTCCTCGTGCGGTGTGAAAACTGGCTGTCAGTCGCGTGCGTTCCACTGTGGCTCTAGATGCGTTCCAATCTGCTTTCTCCTGGAGATCAGTGTAGAATGCCGCCTAACGCGTTTCGTGATCATAGGATCACTTCATCAGAGGAAGTCTTTGCAAGGCAGGTGCTCTAATTCAGTGGAGCTTATAAGCGACACAGCAGACCACATACACAGGCCACACACAAACATGCAAGCTCCTTTGACCTTAGCCTGAACACAATAGCCGTGCTACACTACAACCAAATACTAGTAACACAACTATACCCGGCACACACAGCCTCCTCAGTAATAGACATCAGGCAACACAACTCTACACGGCTACTACCTAGCCAAAGATGGCCAATTACACTAGAACCAGGGGGTACCAACCATAGGATACCACAGAAGTAGAGCCAGTCATACACCTTAAACCAACTCCATTGGACCCTCTGCCCATTTAGCCTTACCATCACCAGGCCCAGACAGCGTTGTAGGTGACCTCAGAGTGGTTCCCACTCCCCATACGAATACACCACTTCCCGTTAAAATCTCTCAGACCGACCAAAATGTAAAAAAGAAGCAAACTGTAATTTAAACATACATATGTACTGAGTAGAAAGTTTGAACACCTTGATGTGGCCGTTGTGGCAACTCAAGGTACTTGTTATGGTTCTTGCTCCAAAAATAAAGAATTCAAAAAAATAAATAAAAAATAAATCTTTGTTGCTTAATCACGTGTGTTCTCGAAACTAATAACTAAATCTTTAAACCGTCTTTGTATAGTAATGTACACTGTTTGGGTTTTCTGTTTGACTTTCAGGTTTTTATGAAACACACACACACACCACTTTAAATACTTGATATGTTTTTGTTTTTTTTAACTTTTGGGCATACATGAACAGGTCCTTCTTCACCTCTCAAATATCCCATTTCTATAATTGTGAACTGCTGCAGATTATGTTGTCCTTTTAAAATGCTATTAATAACAATTCAATCTGCTTTACCTCTAAATGTTAGTAATTCGCATTTTCTATACAACTTTGGATAGAATTCACTATACAGGTAGGTAGGTAGATTCATACAAAGTTTATAAAAGTTAATTAAAGTACAGTAAATTCAATTGGGCATCTAGCACTCAAAATTCCTTATCTGCAGTCAACTCGAAAGACAAGAGTGTTTTTCTAAGGCATATAAATATGAAGCGATGTTCATAAAATAAACATACGTACTAAAAGCGTTTTTAATCTTTTAAATTACACCAGACCACAGGTGCTTTTCCTGTTAAAACAATTGTGTTTCGTGTTCTCTATTAAATGCATTTACACTCTGTGCTGAAAGCATGGGGTTTATTTTCCAAATACCGAATTATAACTGCAAAATTTAGGCAAAAATTGTTGCCTTAGAAAATGTTTCCAACTACACTATAGCGACAGCTGGACTGTTTCAGCCTACATTTTACAGTATTCAATTCACAGGATTTAAAGGAGTTCTTTACTAAACAGGGAATTCAAGATAAGTTCAAAGTGAATTTTAAATTTAAAGGGACACTCCACTGCTAAAATAAAAAAATGATACAAAAAATAAATCTCCATTTAGAATAGACTTCCCCAAACTCCGACCCTCCAGCTGCTGCTGAACTACAACTCCTATGATTCTATTAATGAAATTCATTCTGAAAATCATGGGAGTTGTTGTCCAGCAACATCTGGAGGGCCGGAGTTTGGGGAAGCCTGATTTAGAACATATATTCCAAATGAAAACATGCATGCAGTTAATCATGCATTTTTTTTTCATTGGGGGTATATTTTAAACAGCTTGCAAAAGCTGCAGTTCTCTTGTATGCAGCCCTTCTTCCCTTAGCCCAACATTTCTATGACTGTCTCATTACAGACATTACAAATCTTTTCTGTACAAATTCAGAAAATTAACAGATGAATAGTCTTCGTTACCTGGAATTTTCAGACGTTTTCAGAGCCAGCCAGAAATTCTTATCTGCAGGATACCGTACGAACCAAGTTGCATTTGTGAATTATGTTTAACTGCAAAACATTATTTCTCATATCCTCTGTATAGAACCTCCCCCAGGCTGGCAGGAAATGTCTGTGTAGAGACAAGTAGAGGAAAAGGGGATGTCATGTGAAGTATGGTGTGGAAATGAATGAATTCATTGCTTAGAGTCATGGTACTTAAAGTGATGTTACCACGAACAAAAAAACGGTTGCATTGTTTGCTAATTGTTAATATTTTACTTACATGTATGTGTTGGCCAGCAATGTTTCAGTACTGCCCTCTGTGTCATTTTGTAATTTACCTTTTGCTAGATATTCTTTGCCTAGATTTACAAGCCATGAATATGAGAAATGTGCAATACTATTGGCTATTTGCCAGATACACAAAGGTTCAAACTAATGCTTTTCTGTGCTCTTTTCTGTGCTGTTAAGGGCAAAATATGTTATGCAATATAACAAAATTAGACATGTTGAGTTCAAGAAAAAAACAAATTAAAGGGACACTCCACTGTCCAAATACACAAAATAATGTTTTCGTACATATACCCCAAATGAAAACATGCATGCATTTAGTTATGCTTTTTGTTTTTAAAATTGGTATTATATCTAAAAACAACTTGCAAAAACTGCCGATATCTTGTCTGAAGATTTTGCAAGTCCTCCCCTACTAAAATCCGTCCAGATTTTCTGTGGCTGTCCAATCACAGACTTTACGTGCTTCCCCTCCCAACAATACAAACTGTCCGTGCCCACTGGATAGATGAATACGGTTGCATACACACCACTGACTGACCAGTGGAGGAACTGTAGAGAAGGCCCTTGGGCAAGAAACCTTTTGGGACCCCCTGTAGAAGAGGTCAGAAAGCAAGCCCCATCTGTCATACAACTGTTATTATTATTATTATTATTATTATTAAAGCGCCAACAAGTTCCGTAGCGATGTACAATGGGTGACTAACAGACACGTATTTGTAACCAGACAAGTTGGACACACAGGAACAGAGGGATTGAAGCCCCAGGTCAATGAGTTTACATGCTAGAGGAAGTGGGGTATAGTGACACAAAAGGTAAGGGTAGGGTAGAAAAGTTATGATACTATGTCAGCTGTGGATCTGTTCGCGAGGGTCGGAGCCTAATGAATGAGGATGGAATGTAACACGAGGGGACCTAACATGAGGGTGTGTGGCCTTGCACAGCACACTTTGCCGATCTGCATCTTTGCACCCACCCAGGATCGGCCCTATGCAGGAGAGTGGCTTCCTTGGGGTCCTGCTATTTTTCTGAGGCTGATAGGAGTTTGGGTCTGGAGCAGTCTCTGCTCCCCCACTTTCTCCCTCGAGCCTCCTCAACCTCTCTCTGTGTGGCGCTCTATATGTAGTTGGGAGGAAATGACCTGCTCCCACTGCATCCCAGGTTGCCGAACTAACAGGTCCCCATTCATAAACAACTATTGGGTGGCCCTGGGAGCATGTAGCACCTGATTTCTCTCTTAAATTGAGATCTTAAATTTCTGCTAAAATCCTTGTTATTCGACCTTACCTTTCAACTTTTGTCCAAGACAACAATGTAGACTTCATCACCCATTGTTATGCGATGGACAACACTATTAGGTTGTTTAAAATGCACAGATAAATAAACACAAAATACATAAATTGTAATTGTATAAATAAACCTATACAAAAAGTGGAATGTTGCACTCACAGACTGTACTGTACTGGGTACACCCTCCGTCTTCCTCATCTTCCAGATTAATTGGAGATGTAGGGAAGTAAGGAAAGCAGACATACAGAGCAAATCTTCAAAATAAAACACATTTAATATATATATATTACACTTACAGAATAAAGAGTATGAGCATGTCACCAAATTAAACTTGGCCAAGGATCTCCACATTCTATGAGTATTCCCAGATACTCCAAGTATTAGAATGGTAAAAAAACACATATAAAAAAAATCAGCCAAATAAATACAATTAAATCAGTTTAAAAATTAACCACAGCCCTAAATGCATCCTCCTCAGGGGCATATACTTTCAACATCCAGTCACGATGGCAATTAGCCAATCCACTGGCTGCCATGTCTATATAAAGCCATATTTTCCAATGAGTGCGTCTTAAGCCTTGTTTTTGTTTGGAGTTCTGGTTCTGTGTTTGCGCCGATTACAGAAGATTGTATTCCACCGAATGTTCTTGCGTTTAACCTCCGAATTCCATTTCTGTTTCTTGGCTTGCATTCTGCACATGCTTCCCAAATAAATCAGACTCTGAATATATTTAATAAATGAAAAAGCATTGATAACATTCTTTGGGGGAGTTCTAATGCACGTGTCACTCACTGTGGATGTGCAATGCATTAGGTCAACCATTGGCATGATCTTGTGGAATTAACCATTTCAACAAGGTTGAGAGGGCTGTGTAGTTAGAGTGACCTATTGATTTAGGTATCCAGTTTTGTGTTTCTAACACTATAGTGTTCCTTTAAACATAAGTTGTTAAACACATTTTTGTGGAGCTTTGTTCTTGTATAGCATAGACCTGGGGTGATTTTATGAACCTTGCTTGAGGTTACTGATCTGTGCAGAGTTTTGAAGCACAGGGAAAAAGGACAATCATACACAAGCCTATATACAGGATATTAGCAGGACACAAACAAATTAAAAACAGGAAACAAAAGTTTAATAAAGCTGACACAGCTAGATATTGACACGCTGCAGAACTCCAGTCAGCCGAGAAAGAGATGTTTATGCCCTGAACACTACCAGGAGGAAGTTAAAGGCATCTGCTAACTTAGGATAAATTGAACTGACTGGTGCTTCACCAGTAGCAAGCCTTCCAACTGTCCCTATTTCAGGGTCCTTTCCTCCCAATTCAGAGTTGGTTTCCTGGTGTTCTGTATCCATGGATACAAGGGATCTTTCTCAGCCAGCACAACGCATCTAATAATGCTGTGCTGAAGTCACTAAGGCCTTGCTGAGAGAGTTTAAGTAGGGACACCTGCCTACATGCACTTGTACACTAGGGGATGGCTATTTACAGCAATTATAATATGCCTTTTTGGAGCTTAGGTAGGCTGGTGAGGGGAGATAAGTACCAGGAGCCTTGACTAGTTGTCTTTGTAGTCCAATCCGCCTCCTGTGCAGAAACTGTAATAGAGAGTGTAAAATACAGTGATGACTATGTCCGAGCATCTTCAAAACGGCAAGTCTTGTGTGGTGGTCCCGGTATGCAGTGTTGATACCTACAAAAATAGCGCAAGGAGAGACAATTGGTGAATCGGCTTCCGGATCACGGGCTCATTGATGCCCTAGGGGAGCAAAGGCTTGCCCATCTGGTCCGATCACACAGAAATGCTACTGTAGCTCAAATTGCTGACAATGATAGAAAGGGATCAGACGACACAGTCGCCAGTTTCCTGCCCATGGGGTTGCGTAGAGACAGACCGGTCAGAATGCTCACAATGACCCCTGTTCACCGCCGAAAGCACCTTCAATGGGGACCTGACCATCAGAACTAGACCATAGATCAATCGGAGAAGGTTTCCTGGTCTGATGAATCATATTTTCTTTTAGGATGGCTAGATGCCTGTGTGTTTTTTGTTTTTACCTAGGGAAGAGATGGTAGCAGGATGAACTGTGGGAAGAAGACAGGCCGGTGGAGGCAGTGTTATGTTCTGCTGGGAAACCTTGGGTCCTAGCATTCATGTGGATGTTACTTTGACATGTAACCCCCTAAATAAAGATTGTTGCAGACCACATACACCCTTTCATATTAATGGTGTTCTCTGTGGCAGTAGCATCTTTAATAAGGATAATGCAGCCTGCCACACTGTAAAAAATGTTCAGGAATGGTTTGAGGAACATGACAAAGAGTTCAAAGTGTTGCCTCCAAATTCCCCAGATCTCAATTGGATCGAGCATCTGTGGATGTGCTGGAACAACAAATCCATGGACCATGGTCCATCCTTGCAATTTGTAGGACTTAAATGATCTGCTGCTAATGTCTTGGTGCCAGATACCACAGGGCATGTTCAGAGGTCTTGTGGATTCCATGCCTCGACGCACCAGAGCTTTTTTGGCAGCACGGGAGGGACCTACACGATTTTAATGTTGTAGCTGATCAGTGTATATCTGCAATGTCCAGATAATAAATTCAAGAAAGTCAGGTTAACTGCTGTTTAATTTATTTTAGGGGAAGCAGGGGGCACCTTATAATACTATGCCTACAGCAACATGACATGGACATTTTACCCTGTTTGTGTGTGTGATGCGAGCTCGGAGGCTGTAACTCAGCCGGACATTTGTTGATGCCAGACTGACACCCCCCTTTCTGTGAGTGGATCCCCCCACATTTCTGGGTGTGATAATACATTTTTTTTTTTTAATTCTTTATTTTTATTCGTGCATGAATAAAGTCGGGTCTGTCACGCCACAATAGCAATGCAAGACCGTATATCAACAAGTGGTAACATGGCATAATAAGTTCTATGCACAATTTTGAAGTAAAATTGAAAGTGACATACAAACAATGACAGACAAGGTATATGACAGTCGAGTTTTATGACAAGCTGGTGAGTCTAAGTTGTAGGCGTTTTAACTGCTTAGGTAAAGGGATGTGCTCTTATGAACACGTCGAGATAGTTAGTAACATGCCTTCAACATTGCATGAGAAGTTAAGAAAATAAGTGGTGTGCAAGCTTAGGTGAATCGGCTTCATAACATATATGGCCCACTAGCTTAGATAAGCATGTCTGAATCTGGGATACCAGGTTACTATATTGCAGGCTAAGAGAATATGCTAGTAGGACTATTATGAAATGCAAGTTGTATATGTCTCTGTGAGGTCAAGTTATGTGTCAAAGATAAGTAAGGCACCCCTACGGGAAACAAAACAGCTTGACCACATTAAAACGATGTGGCTCAATAGGAGCCTATTGGGGGCTTCCTTTTTTCCCAAGTCTGCATTTTACTTGTGCATAGAGTGACCGGTTATTGTGACGCCACAACAACGAGTGCAATGTCAATACGTCCGTAGTGAATTATAACGTGGCAGATTGGACAGCACATTTTTATATTTAGGAAAAGTAGCGGTCCAGCAGTGTGTACATGGATTCTAAGTTTATGTCTGTAAGCTATAAACAGAGGCATGTAGGGAACATGAAGCGTAGTGCCCAATATAGTTATAGACCAACCCTTGTAGGATGAGCTGTCCCGTCGTGAGGTACCTATGTCGTTTTCCAATTGACACATGTAGCTGAGTCTAATGGGATTAGAGGGTTTGGATTGTGGCATCTTAGTCACGTTCCTTCTAAAGTTTTGGTGGTCTACTTGGTAGAGTAGCTTATGGGGTTCTGGCCCAGGTGTGATGTGGGCGTCTTAGTTCCCTCAAGTCTCAGGGCGGTTTGGGCGGGGGAGGGTGAGCGCGGCTCGGTGTCAGACGGTCCCATAGGGGTAAGTGTGTGTAGTGGGTGGGCCTCTGAGGTCGTGGGCCTCTGAGGTCGTGTGTATAGTAGCGTCAGGAGCAAGTGGAAATAGCTATGTGGAAGTGGGCGTTACATGTTGCAGACAAATAGAGTTTAAAAATGCAAAAATATAAAAACAAGAAAACTTTAAACTGTTTTGCCTATTGGGGCAATTCTCAATGCATAGACATAAACCTTATACAGTCCAGGTCTCATTTAGGTGAGAGTGTCCCGTTCCCCTCCGTGAATGAAAGGAGGTATGTTGTCAACATCCCAGGTTCTTTGGGGTAGTGTCATCGGGTCTGGCGTAGGCAGGCCTAGGGCTTGTAAGAATTGCGGGCCCTCGTGGGGTTGGTAATTTTGAGAGTTTTTCCCTCTTTGGTGCACAGCAGTGCTCTAGAGTTGGTCCATCTATAGGGAATGCCAGCGGATTGCAGGGGCTGCGTGATGGTGCGCATTGATTTCCACCACAGGAGTGTGGCTTTACTGAGATCTTGATAGAATGTGAGTGAGTGAGTCTCGAATTGGAACGGGGTTTTCCCCCGCAGAGCCTGCAGTAATCTTTGTTTATCCGCAAAGGATCGGCAACAGAGGATAACATCCCTAGGCTGGGAGTTTGGTGTTCGCAAGGGTGGTGCGGTACGGTATAGTCCGTCATAGGCGAATTGTTTAGCATGCTTAGATGGGAGGATGGCTGCAATGAGTCGTCTGATGTGGTGAGGTAGTTCTTCTGCTGGTACAGTGTCCTCCACTCCTCTTATCTTGATGTTGTTTTGTCTGCTTTTATCTTCCATGGCATCCATTCTGGCTGCTATTTGTGAGTGGGAGGTTTGTAGCTGCTTTATAGCTTCCCCTTGGGTGGCCATATTTTGTTTGATGTCAGCAGAGTCCTCCTCGGATACTCAAATTCGTTCTGTTATTGCTTGCATTTCTGCTTTAATCAGGTTGAGTTCTGCAAAGAACATGTCCTGGAAATGTGCCAGGAGATCGTGTATGTTCCTTTTAGTCACATGTTCACTTTCAGACATAGCCTGAGCTCCCTTCTCGGGTGCCTTGTCCGCCACTGGCTCAGTTGTAGTCTCCCTCCGAGGGGATGATGGCTCCCGCGTGCGGGGCGTCGAGGCCAGCATCTGGCCGATGTCGTGGTTTAAGGCGGCAGCGGCCGGAGCCGGTTTTTGGGATTTGCGGCCCATCAGTGAATCTGGTGTGCCCCAGGGTATGCCGGCTGCTTGTGGGTCTGTGTCCCAATAGTCTTCGTCCCAGGGGGCGATGCGCGGCTGCCGCGGGAATCCCACCCGGTAGGCCCAAGGCCCCCTGCGCCGGATTTTCGTACCCGACGGGCACAAAAAAGGCATCCACCGGTCCGGTATGCAGACCCTAGTATAAGGGTCGCTATTTCGGCTCTGGGTGTGTGGCGGTGCGCCAGTTATAAGAGATTTTCCAGGCGAGGAGCTGAGTGAAATGGCGTCTGCTCCTGAACGCCGGTAGCTCCGCCCCCGATAATACATTTTTAATATGGAATTGCAAATGTCAGACTCAATGCAGTAAGCAGCAAATTCTGGAGTATTGCAGTAAAACTAGGAACTTCAAATGTATATAGTTATCTAAAAAATGTAAGTCCATTGAGTTCAACTTCTAAAAACATCTTCTAATTTATGTTTGTATAATATTGTATTGCATTGAAATACTGGAGGCGGGTCCAGCCACAGCGAGATCCATTCAGCGATGAAGAAATGGTAAGTAAAATATATTTTTACTCCATTCTGAGGGAGACCAGACACCTAAAGAGGTAGTCCAACACTATAGTGTTCATTTAACTGTACACTGAGTAAGTTTTACTATTTATAGGCTCTAGCATGCAAAGCGTTTACTTTTTTGTTTGAATAGCAATTTTATTAAGATTACTCCAAGGAAATAACACACACTTGACACGGTACACTCATGACAAGACATATGCAAAAATAAAAGAGAAGAAAATGCATAGAAAGCGAATAGCGCCCCCACTCCCTTCCATGGTGCTGAAGGGGCTAAAGCCCCTTCAATCACTTACCTGAATCCAGCGCCAATGTCCCTCGGCACTGGGTCAGGCTCTCGCGTTAGGATTTCTCCATAGGAAAGCATTATTCACACATGGGACGTAGCATTTAGAAACCACCCACGGTCTCCTCATTTGCCGGCTGTTTATTTACATTGAGGCATCGCTTCCAGCACTCTAATTCGCTGCGGACGTATCAGCTAAGTCCTTAAGGACTGTTTTTTGTCAGACGTACCCGATACGTCCAAGGTCGGCATGGGGTTAAACAACTCCTAAATTAGTGTCTTGGACACAAACACTGCATTAGTAAAAGTTTGCAGTTGGCATGCTTTTGCACAATTAATGTGATTTTTGCTGCTGTATATATGCTGAACATATGTCAAACTTTGGTTCATACTCAGTTTGAGAGAAACACATGCAGCACTCAATTCATCTGTTAGTCTATTTCTGGTATCAGATTTGCTATAATTCAAAGCTGAAAACAGCTGCTCACAAGCATAAGATGACCAAAACAACAAAAGAAGAGACATTCCAAGTGCTTTCATTGACTTAAAAATATTCAGCAGAGAATTCCACACGTTAAGGATTTCATTTTCATAACTACCAACCGTGCAGTCCTTTGTCATCCCTTCACATTCTATCTTCTCAAGTGTGGCACGCAGGGTATAGAATTTATTTTTCCAGATGCTTTCTTGAAATTTTAATATCTCCATTTCCAGATTTCCTCAATCTTGTCAAATATTTTGAAAGGTTTTCATTTTTGACAATAATAATCATTGTAAAACAATGAAATATATGGAATAAAGAAAACATATATATCAAACAAACAAAAAGAAACAGGGGGACAAATATCCATCCATTATAAAATTGATAACATATGCTTTATGAAAAACACTGCAAAGTGTCAAATAAGGTGTAAAAGCACTTTACACTTACTGGCGAAAAATAGTGTACAAACAGTGTACAAACAGTTGCGTATTCAAACAGAACAAGACTAAAAGGAGAGCCACATTACTACACTTTGGCAAAAATTTAAAGGACCACTCTAGGCACCCAGACCACTTCAGCTTAATGAAGTGGTCTGGGTGCCAGGTCCAGCTACGGTTAACCCCTTTTTTCATAAACATAGCAGTTTCAGAGAAACTGCTATGTTTATGAATGGGTTAAGCTTTCCCCTATTTCCTCTAGCGGCTGTCTCATTGACAGCCGCTAGAGGCGCTTGCGTGCTTCTCACTGTGAAAATCACAGTGAGAGCAGGCCAGCGTCCATAGGAAAGCATTATGAATGCTTTCCTATGTGACCGGCTGAATGCGCGCGCAGCTCTTGCCGCGCGTGCGCATTCAGCCGACGGGGAGGAGAGAAGGAGGATTGGAGGAGGAGAGCTCTCCGCCCAGCGCTGGAAAAAGGTACCTTTTTACCCCTTTCCCCCTTCCAGAGCCAGGCGGGAGGGGGGCCCTGAGGGTGGGGGCACCCTCAGGGCATTATAGTGCCAGGAAAACAAGTATGTTTTCCTGGCACTATAGTGGTCCTTTAATCATAAAGAGTATTTTCGTTTGACATTATCCTCCTATATTTTCCAGTGGAAAGTTAATGATTCTGTTGTGTTTGATAGTAATCTAAGGTACATCTCATAGCACTTATTCTCTAAGGCCAATGTTAATACCTCTTTAATAGCAGGAATTACATAAGACCTCCAATATCGTGGTATTACCATAGTGATCACTATCAAGATGTGGCTTACCATTATCTTATCCACTTTGGTAAAGTTTTCAGGAAATGACTTGAATAAACATACTTCTGGAGTCAAAGTCACAACAGAAGGAGTCATATCCCTGATTATTGTATATACATTCTTCCAAAATAATTGTAAACGTGGACAATGCCACCACATATGGGAATATGTGCCTGTTTGCCCACAGCTACGCGAGCAGAGATTTGTAGAATTGGTGTATATTTTCTGGAGCCTGGTTGGAGTCAGATACCACCGATATAAAACTTTATAGTGGTTCTCCAAATGAGCCGAACACTGGGGGGATATCTTTCAAATGTAAAGAAATAGCCTACCAGTCATCAAGAGACATTTCTCTCGGGAGATCCCTCTCCCATGCGACTATGTAATTCAATTTGGTTTGGGGCTTAGCATTAATATAGGCATTTCCTAAATCTGACCAGTGTAAGCAGGAAATATCAAGCCCTTCATATTTGGCTTTATCCGGAGAAGTAAGAAAATACAGGGTTATCTCCATTTTCCAGAATTGCAAGAATCAGTTACTAAAATTCTCCTTAGCAGCTGCTGCAATGCTAGAAAGTTCCTTGTGGATTTCCTGATGGCTTGGAGGATTGTCCGTAAATATTGTAGAATTTTCCAATGTATTTTTTAGATTTGGAAAGTAGTTCAGCTGCCCACTTTCAAGGTCTATTTCAAAAACCTGCAGCTTTCTCTCAAATGTTTTCATATCACAAAACATCCTTCCTGCTGTTTTTCCTACACCTTGCAGTGTTTTGTTCAGTACATTGAAGTGTGCTGTAAAATCTCTAAGAAACATGAGGTTGGTAAGCCAGGCCGTATCAGTGAGCTGGGGATATTCTTGCCCCTTTTCATTCATAAACAGCCTAATTTCATCCAAGCAAGCCACAAATCTCTCCAGGACTCGTCCTCTGCTCAGCCATTATTGTACATTGTGTTACTGCTCAGCCATTATTGTACATAAGTAAAGTATTACACAGTGCCTGTACCTCATCAAGACGTGAACAGAAACTGTTGAAAATTAAGAGCACGAGCCACGATGTAATTCACCTTTTTTTTGTGACATTTTTGAGGGTATCTTCTAATTTTTTTGCTGCTGTGCCTGGCACATATAGTTTCTTGGTGTTTAATACAATGAAACTGAATGACTGAATGTTTTGCTTTCTTTAAAGCGGCGCTGTCATGCCGAACTTTCCTTTCCTCAATCTTTTCCTCTTCTCCCCCTCTCCCAGGATGTGTTATTCTTTTCTTCCTGTCTTCTTTAGTTTTCTTTAAAATCATAAGACAAAGTAGGGACTCTTTGCCTTATGGAGGTTTCCTCCGCTTGACCAGCTTTGACCAGCAGAGGAGCAAAGTGTGCTTCATTTCCGCTGGTCAGAGCAATTTTCCCATAATTCTTACCTTTACTCTGTGTTCTCGCGATGCTTCCTGTCATTTTAGACGAAACTGCCAAATGGCGTTCTAACTGAATGAGAACAGTATGTTCGTTTGTTTTAGAACTCAATTCGGCACTTTGTTCGCATCAGAATTTCATTAGAATGAATGAAACTCCGATTCAATTTGTGCCGCAGCTGCATCTTGCAGCCGCTTAGTAGATAACTCCCTAATTCCCACGGTATTAGGGAGTTATCTTCCAAAAGGCTGGAAGACCTAAATTGGACAGTAGGTCCTCCCCCCTCATTATCTTTATGGCCCCCACCCACTGCTCAAGGGTGGGGGCCAAGGAGAGGGACAGTAGGTGTCCCCCATTGTAATTTATGGCTCCTACCCACCGCACACGGGTGGGGGCCGGAGGGGAGGACAATAGGTCCCCCCCTTATTGTTATTTAGGGCCCCCACCTGCCGCGCAGGGGTGGGGGCCAGATAGTAATTTTTTTTTTTTAATTTTTTTTTACAGTGAGCAGCCACAGGCTGCTCACTGTTTAGTGGACATGCCCCTACTCGTGGTGTAGCGAGTAGGGGCATTCGGGAGATTTGAATCTCCCTTATGCTATTATGGGGGTCATATTGACCCCCATAGAGTGAGGGGGGACATGGGGGGCTTAGGAAGTGGCAGGGAGCACTGCTCTATCTTTACATTTTACAAGGAGGGAGCTGCGTGATGGTAGCTCCCTCCTTGTAATAAACTGCACGAACAAACGGACACTGATATTCGTTTTGTTCATCTGACAATGCTATTCATTCATTCGTCTTTCTGACTAATGAATGAATAGATGAAATTCCTGTTCGCATGCCCAAGGTTTTTAACTGGGCATGTGCGGGAATTTCACAGCGCTATCTGGTGTGGGCAGATGACAAAGATAGCAGCGCCCTGAATATAGATCGGGGCAGAAAATAAAGAATAAAAATAGGTAATATGGGGGACTTAAGGGCATTTGGTGGTGACTAGGGGGTCAGTTAGATGTAGTGGAGTCGGGAGGGTGGTTAAAAAAAACAAAACGGGATTCGGCCATGACAGTGCCGCTTTAACAAAGAACTGTGTGAAACGAGATTTTGCCCCCACCATGCTCCGTCACTAGTAATTGAAACCATTTTTTCTGGTCTTATTTCTTGTGCCAGAAAAGCCTCCATCACAGCATTGCGGATATCTATTCCTTGTGTTCTTCTAGGCAAGTCTTGGGAGATGATATTTGGCCTTAAGGCCTGGTGTGCCAGTATCTTAATAGTGTCTTCTGTGGCACTCTGCTCAGGCTCAGCAACACCCCTGATCCTGAGGTTGTTTCTTC